TCTATCATCTAACCTGACCTCCTGTATAACCAAAGGTAGAGAATTTCACCTGGATCCCCCCAGTATTGAGACCAATTGCTCATGCATCTATAATAAAGAGAAATGTGAATGTCAGGAAACTAGAAGGTAACAGTTCAAGACACCCAAATGCTACAAAGTGTGGAACTACTGTAAACACTTAAGGGTTCGGGATTAAACCCTCTGATTCCATCTCCCACCCCTGAAGCTTCAGCACCATCCTGGAGGAAACTGTGCGTAAGGACTTGCACACTGGAGCCCATGTTGTTCTCCATGCATAGTGCACAGAAGAGTCATAGAATCATAGAACTGGAAGGGACCTTGAGAGGCCATCAAGTCCAGTCCCCTGCACTCATGGCAGGACCAGCACCATCTAGACCATCCCTGACAGGTGTTTGTCTAACCTGCTGTGATAAATGGGGGGTGGGGGGGGAGGAGCTCCCTTTTATGGACACCCAGCCAGTCAGTTAGCTATAGAATCCTCCTTAGAAGCTGTACCATAATTGCCTTACATGTAAAGGGTTAAGAGAAGCTTAAATTGAGTTGGCACCTGACCAGGGGAACCAATAGGAAAGCTGTACACATTCAAATTGGGAAAAACTGCTGGGTGTGTGGGTCCTTTGTGTCTGTCGGACAGAAGCAGACAGGGCAGCAACTATGCTGTAAAAAGCTTTGGGCCAGTTATGGAAAATCATCAGTATCATACCTAGAAGCTACTCATTTGGAACCCCAGATATGTAAGTATATCAGAAAATGTTAGACAGATGCGATTAGGGATCCTTTTTTGTTCTGGTTTGTGGATTCCTCTGTGCTAGCCCCAGGCGCTTTTGTTTTGTTTTTGTTTACTTGTAACCTTTAACCTGGACCCCAAGAAAACTATTCTTGATGCTAGGTTTTAAAAAAGAGCAACTGCAGGAATTAAGCAATAGCCTGAATTCCCAATGTATTTTCTTTTTTCAAATAAAATTTACCTTTAAGAACCTGATTGGATTTCTGTGTCTTAAGAGGTTTGTGCAAATGTGTTTTTTTAGTTAGCTGGTGGCAACAGCGGATTTCTTTTTTTTTTCTTTTCCTTTCTCAACTCTTCCCCGGAGGGGGGGTGAAAGGCTTGAGGGTACCCCACAGGAAGGAATTTTCCAAGTGCGCCTTCCTGGGCTCTCAAAGGGGTTCTGCACTTGGGTGGTGGCAGCATTACCAGCCTGGAGTGGCCATTATTGGTTTTGGAGTCCTTGTGGGCCCCCACCTTTTGCATTCGAAGTGCCAGAGTTGGGAATCTGCCTTGACACCTGCTTTGAAAAATTCCACAACTTCCCCAGGCAATTTATTTCAGTATCTAACCACCCTGACAGTTAGGAAGTTTTTCCTAATGTCCAACCTAAACCTCCCTTGCTGCAGTTTAAGTCAATTGTTTCTTGTCCTATCATCAGAGGTTTTTCTCCCTCCTCCTTGTAACAATCTTTTAGGTTCTTGAAAACTGTTATCGTGTCTCCTCTCTGTCTTCTCTTTTCCAGACTAAACAAACCCAATTCTTTCAATCTTCCCTAATAGGTCATGTTTTCCAGATCCCTAATCATTCTTGTTGCTCTTCTCTGGACTCTCTCCAATTTGTCCATATCTTTCCTGAAATGTGGCGCCCAGAACTGGACACAATACTCCAGTTAAGGCCTAATCAGCGTGGAGTAGAGTGGAAGAATTACTTCTCATGTCTTGCTTACAAAACTCCTACTAATACATCCCAGAAGGATGTTTGCTTTCTTTGCAACACTGTTACACATATTTAGCTTGTGGTCCACTATGACCCCTAGATCCCTTTCCACAGTACTTCTTCCTAGGCAGTCATTTCCCATTCTGTGTGTGCATCTGATTGTTCCTTCCTAAGTGGAGTACTTTGTATTTGTCCTTATTGAATTTCATCCTATTTACTTCTGACCATTTCTCCAGTTTGTCCAGATTGTTTTGAAGTTTCATCCTATCCTCCAAAGCATGTGCAACCCCTCCATTCTTGGTATCATCCGCAAACTTAAGTGTACTCTCTATGCCATGATCTAAATTGTTGATGAAGACATTGAAAAGAACCGGACCCCGAACTGATCCCTGGGGGACCCCACTTGTTATGCCCTTCCAGCCTGACTGTGAACCACCGATAACTACTCTCTGGGAGTGGTTTTCCAACCAGTTATGCACCCACTTTATAGTAGCTCCATCTAGGTTGTACTTCCCTAGTTTCTTAATGAGAAGGTCATGCGAGTCTATCCCCATCCATGGGCTTGCACTACTCCATTTGCCATTGTTGTGTTGGTCAGAGGCCCTGTCCTCCAGATGCAGGATATGTGATTTTTTCCCATGTCTGCATCCCACACTTTCCTTACACAGATTCATACAGAACCCCTTGTACCTGACATAGGCCAGAAGGGTGGCTGCAAGATCTAGCTGCGTGGAGCCACATAACAGGGTATTGTATTGTTATGGGTTAAACCTGGTTCTGGGCCAGGCCTAACCGCTTCTTTTCATTCAGGATCAATGTAAAGAAGTGGTTGAAGCTGCCGTATCACTCAAAACACGGGCACGTGGAAGAACATGAGTAGAAGCTGGACTGTGTGTAAAAGGTGTTTCAAATGCAGGGGCTTGGACTAGTGGAACTGTTTTGGTCTGTGCATCTGTCTAGACTGTAATCACACAGGGTGGGTGATTGCAGCATGGCACAGCCAAGCTAGGTCTGACCTAGCTAGCCCAGGTACTGATAGTGAAGCGGTAGCCGCACAGGCTGTACAACGGCACCCAGAATTCTGGATAGTTACGTGGGAGGCTAGCCCATGCTGCCATGGCTTCACTGTCTAGTACATGAGCTAGATTTTTTAAAACTAGCTTGGGTAGCGGTGGGTGACTCCTGCATTTGGGGAGGCTGGGCATGAGCGCTGGAAGCTCCCTAGAAGCGGGGAGGGCAGGGGTGCCAGGACTGTGGTCCTGCCCCCTGCTCTGCCCTAAGGCCAGCCCCTGCTCTTTGCCCCCCTCTCAAGACCCTGCCTCCTGCCACTAGTGCCTCTTCACCCCCTTCCGTGAGGCGACCCGCTGCTCACGCCTTGCGATGAGGAGTAAGTGGCGGGCGGTGGGAGCCTCAGGGAAGGGGTGGGAAGAGGATGAGTGTGGGTGGGTCTACGGCACAGGTGCCCTTTCGGCGTTCCAAAGGCAGCAGGCCAATGCACCCCATTTGGAGAAGGTTAGCCTCCCCTGGCCTCTTATACCTGCCACCCACATGTCTACACGAGCAGCAATCACTACTTCTGATTGCAGGATAGACACAATGTGTGTGTGTGAGACTTCGCACAAGGGGAGAGATGCCCAGAGACAGAAAGCCAAACAGCCATAGCCTCAAGCATGCTGTGTGGCTCTGAGAGAGCTTCTGAGACGTGGCTGCAAGAGACTTGAAGATGTGGGAAAACACTGTCTCCTATTGTTGGGTTCTGCCTGTATTCAGGGAAAACAAGGCTTTGTAAATAAACAAATTGTATCAAAGAAACAGCTGACTCTTGCCAAGTTCCCTATCTGGGACAAACCAAAAGACCCTGAACTTTTGGCTAGCCACTCAGATCAAAAGGGGTAACTGTAGTTAATAGACACAACTGAGGATAGTTCAATTTCTTCCCAGCGTCTAGTCACTGGGATTATCCAGGGTAAACTAGGTGAGGTTAAAAAGGCAGTGTCGAGTTTCTTTCTTGAGAGTAGCCCTTTCAGCTACAAAAAAGGCATGTTGACTTAGAAGGAAATACCTTTGGGAAAGTTGTGTTGTTCTAGTCTCTGGGAATGTTTGAGCATCCGATTTCTGCTCTGGTCTTAAAGAATCTAGCAAGAAATACACAGGAGACATCAGTTATTACTACTTCATGACCATTTCCCCTTCCGTCTCCCCTGCATTTTTCAGACAGTGAAAGAGAACGCCCTCTAAAAAAAGGAAAGATGAGTTTTTAAAATGATCTGACAAGAACGGTGACAGAGGCCTACATTGTTTATAATAAATGATCATTAATGTATAACAATATGTGACAGCATTGCCTAGTGCTTAGAACACTGGATTGGGATTAGGGATTAGGTTCTATTCCCTGCTCTGCCAGTGGCCTGCTGAAAGACCTTGGAGAAGCATATCCCCCTTGCTATGCTTCAGTTTCCCCATCTCTGTAAGGGGGATGACAACCCCAACTTCCCTTTCTAAAGGGCTTTGAGATCTATGGATGAGAAGTGCTATAGAAGATCTGGGTTTTTTTTTTTTTATTATCTTTCACCCAAGGATCTTATCATAGTTTCCAGACAAAAGAACTCAGGACCACATTTTCAAGTACTCAGCACCCGCAATTGGAGTAAAATTATCTGTTGCCAATGTTTGGAAAATCTGGCTCTAAGCACCGTCTTTCCTGATTTGTGCAATGCCTCTGTCCCCATCTGTGAGCAGTAAAGGGGAAGCAGTTAGAGGGATCCTGGTCAGTGAGTCTGGATAGCGGCTGAGGTGGTGCCTGTAGCCTGGCTCATGAACATAGACACAGGAAGCAGGTGCTGAATGGGGAGGAGAGGGTTACTTGAGATGGAATGAATATATGAAACCACCTAGTTTCTCCCCTTCACAGCAAGGACAGGGTTGGTCTTTGCCTGCATTATTCCTTACCTCTGAGTCTCTCTGCCAGGTCTCTGTAGTTGAGGTCTCGCAGCATATCCATGGTCATCTCCACTAAATAGCGGCTGATCAGCAGGTCAGTGACACCCCCGGGATGCCCTTTCTTCAGCCAGTCCCATGGGATGGCTTGATAACCCTCCTCCAGTCAAATGCTTATGCTTGAATCTCGTCAGCTGATCCACCCTGGTTGCCCCACAGGGGGCCTCCCCTGTCCTATTCCATGCTGACCTTTCAGACAGGGCCCCGAGAGAGAGAGAGAGAGAGAGAGAGAGAGAGAGAGAGAGAGAGAGAGAGAGAAATCAGGAAGCGGTTTCTGTACATGCATCCCCAATACCACCTGACAGTTCTATGAGGCACCGGAGAACTGGGAGGTCTTATGCTCCACTAAAGATACCTACCACAGGCTCCTGTCTGGAGGAGTTCCCCAGCCCCTGATTGGACCAGGTACACAATTCAAGCCAGAAAGAGACACAAGAAGTTGTCTGTGCAGCAAGGTGGATCCTGGCTTGCTGCTGCTACAGAGCCTGCTGTCTGCTACTTGACTCCCAGCCTCATCCCTAGTTCCTATTTTGAGCCCTCCCCTGTTCCTAGCCCCTGCCCTTGTTCTCTGACTCCGGCTTCAGCCCTTGGCTTGGCTCTCTATGATTCCAGCTCTGATACATGGTTTTGGTATCTGGCCTCTGACTGACGTTTTGATCCTTGATTCTGTTTCCTGGTGCCTGAATCATGCTCTGACCACTAGGCATGATTGCCCACATCCTGGTTCCTGACACTTAGGAGCCATGACTGCAGCTCCATAGCACCATAGGTGCCTAGATCTTTGCAGCAGGTTAAGAAGCAGTGTCCATGTCCCAAGGAGTTTTTGATCTAAGGCCCTATTTGAGGTGGGGCAGGATGGAGGGATGGCACAAGGAGACTTATCTTTTCTTCTGCCTCATGCAAAGCCCAGAGACAACACCAGCCCCTGTTCAGTTTCCATCAGGACACTTAGCACATCGATGGAGGCAGTGGGAAGACTGGGCCAAGCTCATGTATGCCTGACCATTGGCGTTTGGACCTGATGGAGTCTGTATATACTGTTAGGAGAAGTCTAATGATAACCCCAAGGTGGTGATTCTTGAAAAACACACGTACACCAGGCTTCATTATCTCAATACATTTATTTGGAGAATAAATTGTAATTTGACAGAACTTCTTCATCCATATGTCAGATGTAGATCAACAACTGTAATCTTGCATTTAGATGGTTAAGCCAGATAATTGCGTCTGGAGTAGCAGAGCGTGTTGCTGTGATGCCTCTTTCATATTTGTGAATTGGAGTCTGTTCTGGATGACCACAGTCACACACTGGAGAGTTTATAATTTTCCATTTGTTCATCAAGTACCTGCATCTGGCATGGTTTGCGTGGATGTGGTTTAGGGTTGCCCATGAACTTTGCAGAAGATTGAAGACAGGGATCTTCTGTGTCGGGTCTTTCATGAGGTGTTTGTTTGTGACTTTTTGTGAACTCCATTCAGCTTTCCAAGCTTCATCAGTGTTGAAGTTAAGGTTAAGCGTGTAGGTCTAAAAGGGTTTGCAAGATTTCAAGTGGTGGTAAGGGACATTGTTGAGGTCCTGGTGGATGGGGAGACATTCGTATTCCTCTATTTGCTGGACTTCCTGGAGGGTTGCATCATCGTGGTGAATGTTTAGGGAAGCAGTGTATAAAACGTCTTTTCCGTATTAATTTTCAGAAAATTAATAAGGAAATTATTGTGATTCACGGTGTTTAATTTTGTAATTTCTTTGTAGCTCCACCAAAGTACAGTAGAACCCCATTTATCCGAGCATCCATTATTTAGCTCTCTGCATTAACCGAACCACCAGCCACCTCAGGCTGACAGTGGTGTGACTCAGGCTGTCAGTCTCGGTTGTCAGGGGTCGGGCTATCAGCCCAAACCTCATCCATGCGGGGGATTGACAGCCCGAGGCCCTGAGCCCTCCCATCTTAAAATAAGGGATAGAAAGCTTTTTATCCATTCTCCTGATCATCTGAATTTTTGATTATCTGATCTGGCCCTATCCCAATTAGATTGGACAAACAGGGTTCCACTGTAATTGGTTTCAGTAGAGTCTTTCCCAGCAGAATGGGAACACTGAAATCCATTATATACTTCTATGCTTTCCAGTGCTTGCTCTATGGTTATTTCCCCGCAGGGCTCTGGGAGATTGGGGAAATAGTCATTTTTATAGAGAGGAGGTTTCCATCCTGGAGTGGAAGTCTGGAACGTGCCATTGGAAACCATATAATTGGAACATAAAGAATAAGAGCTTGTTAGTGGTGATATCCTGTCTCCTCCACCCCTGAGCCCTTGTGGCCAATGTGTTGATGCAAAACGCTCCTTATGATTAGTACCTCCCGCTTCAAAGGGGGCTTTTGTAGTGGACACTGCTTCCCCCAGCCAAATATTTGCTTCAAGATTTCATCCTGAGGCTTCAGTTTCAGCTTGGAACGTTTAGTTTCAATTTCTAAACTTTCAAGTTCAGCTAGCATTTGTTCTTGCAGATAAGAAAGAAAATATTTAATAAACAAAGAAAATGTGTAAATATATGCTGTGATTCTAGAATGTATTTGAGCTAAACTGCCTTTAGGGATGACTAAGTATAGTGTCAGCTTTTTACAAAATTTGACTAAAAATAGAAAGATTGTGTTCACTTTTTCATCTCTGGAGGGTCTCAGAGCATCTTGGATTTTCTGGAGAATTGTGGAGAGAATTTATTTCTCTAAACTGTCAAGCCCCTAGTCTGTCTATAGTCATCTATCAGTCATGTCCATATACAGGTTTTGACAAACCCTTCATAATCATTAATATATTTCATATAGTTCTGAGCATTCTTCTCCGCCAACAGCTTCTTCTGCATAAGGAACAGGAAAAAGCTCCAGTTACCATATTCAGTGGATTGTGCCTACCTAAGAAAGATGCTCGCTTTTTCCCCCCCACATCTCTTGTTGATATAGGTTTCTGAGCAGGGAGAAATGCTGAGGTCTCAGCTTCTCCAGAGGCTGCTAAGGGTCATTTTCTTGGATAAAATCTTAATACATCTTCTGGAATTCATAAAGAGTTTCCCGCAATATGTGTATCTTCAAGTCAATTTCAAAGTAAGTGTTGGTGTGAAGTTCCTGAACATCATCCTGTTGTAGCCACTTATTGATCATAAGCAACAATTCCCTGCAGTAGGTTTCATCATAGTCTGCTCTGGATTTGACCGTTTCTGCGGTGTATTTCTTGTAATTATACATTAAGAAATTAACTAGTTCCTGTGCTTTATGTTGATGCCGTTTGGTATCAAATTCTTTTACATGTTTAAAACATCTTAATTCAAAATACTTATCTTTAATCCTGAAAGGCTTTATTTTATAACTCAACAAAATTTTCAATTTTGGTATCTTGATACTGGTGGTACTCAATCGATTTTCCAGATCCTTTCTCAGATGGATCATCATTTTCTCAGCAAAACGAATAAGCAATAACTTTGATGCTTTTTGCCTTTTTTCCTCAGATTCTCTCTTGTTTAATTTACTTTTTTCCCCCCTGTGGCTTGTGAAGAACCAGTGAACCTTCTCTTTAAATACTTTCAAAAATATGGGCTCGATAAAATCTGTTCTTTGCCTCTGAGGTACTTCCTTGCACTGGCTGATTGAATAATGTTCAGGTTCACATTTCAGACTAGCTAGTGTCCTGATAAACTCGTCTCTCTGTTTTTCTATCAGATGAAGATTTTTTGCTCTGTTTTCAAAGTATTTGTATGAATTATCCAATATCTTTAGTTCCCCACAAATCCGTTTGTCCTGAATCTCACAGAGTAAGAGATTGGGTGGCTGACTCTGGATGCAAGTTACTTTTTCAGATACTGAGGGGTCCATTTCCTCATTGAAATTACACGCCGACCCTGAATACTTGTCTAAATGTTCATGTTTTACAGCATTACACAGGCTCCTCAGCCCCTCAGTAAACTGGGGAATGTCCTTGATGCTTCTGTGAGATGAATAGCTCTTTATGAATTCAAACAGGTTTTTTTTTAGCTCACACACACTCTCACTGTATCCAGTGTTCACTGGAGCCATGGGAGGGACTCCATGCCACAGGTCAGGGATGTACCAATTGTGTTTCTCCGGTTCATACTCCATAATGTCAGAAAGTGCCACTTCCCTACTTTGTTTTTCTACTGAAGCTTTGGTCATTTCACACAGCTGCTCCTTCATTTCAGTGGCATTCTCCAAGTTAATGACCATTATGTCACTCAGTCCAGTCACAATTGTGGCCAGCTGATAGTTTTTAACATGACAATCCTCCTGTCTGGCCAGTTCAGGGGCTTTCAGGCCTTCTGCGTCTATTACCAGGATGAAATCATAGCCCAGTTCCTGCTGAAAGTTCTCTGCCACTTTAATGAGTGACATGAAGGCTCCTCGCGTACATCGGCCACTGCTCACTGCAAACCGCAGGCCGAACATGGTGTTGAGGAGGGTGGATTTCCCAGTGCTCTGCCCTCCCAGCACCGTTAGAACCAGCATTCTGGACCTTCCCCCCAGCTTGGCATGGAGCTGGGTCAGAACATCTGTCACCCACTGCAGTGGGATGTTGGAGGCATCTCCATTGATCAGCTCCATGGGAAACCCTTCCAGCATCAGGTCAGCTATTATTTCTGGGAGATGGCTGTATTTCCTTTGGGTTTTTAGCATTTTGCCTTCTTTCACCTGTATGCTTTCTGCCTCATAATAGTGCCCGATTATATGCATGAAATGCTCCACCTCTAAGGAGTTGGCCTTCATTTGACAAATCTTATTCCTCCTTGCAGCCTGATCCAGATGAAATGTCATCCACTTTAAGAAGTAAACAGTTTCCTGTCGTGGTAATTTTTCTATTCCTTGGATAAATTTTTCTGTACTATGAGCAAGATCATATTGATTGTGCTGTGTATATAATTTCAACCTATTCTCTCTCCCAGCGGGGATATCTCCTTGCTGTCCTATTCTGCACTGTTCTACTCTTGGCCTCTTCCTTGGATGTCGCTGGGGTCTTATATTTTCCTCCTTGTTCTTTTCCGCATCTTTTATTTCTGCCATGATAATTTTAGCACGTTTCTTTGCCCCCTGACATTCTTCACAGTCCTCATCTACTTGGATTCCTAGTTTATGTGCATGAACAGCAATGCTTTCCATATTCTTCATCTTGGTAGTAGAATCCATTATTGTTCCTATGGTAGTCTGTACCTTTTCCACAAATTCTATCTTATTCAAGATGGTGGATTTAACCAGCAGATGGGGTTTGCTCAATTTCAGCACAGGTGCTAACCTTTCAAGTTGTTCAAGGACTTCACTGTGTTTCTCAGTCTGGGCATTGAAGATGAAGTAGTATTTCGTGTCTGATCCCTTCAGAGATGACAATAGTTTGTATTCTCTCTCACTGATGCTCTCAGTGACTATGAACACTGCTGAGGAGATCTCTGTTAAAAAGCTGAACTGTGACCAGTGGGACTCAATGTCTCCACGCAGGTTTGTAACCGCAACGGGCTCTGCAAAAAGATCTGAATTCTTGCTCCCTCCAGGGAAATACCAGGAAATCTCGACTAGCCCATCTGCGATTTCCCGAGGGACATTCCCAGACTCCATGTCCCGGTGGATAAAGAAATTGTGGTGCTGCTGGGAGGGGCTGAGAACATCATTGAGGAGTTTGGATTTGGAGAAGCTGCAGCTCCCCATCCGCACAAAGGAAATGGTTGGCAGTGATGTGAGCACCAGGCTCTCCTCTCTGAACCCTCTGCTCTCTGCCAGGGAGTGTGGCCTCCACTTCCTCACAATGTCCCTCATGGCCCACAGCATTAGGGTGCCCTTGGGGGTGTCGAGGGCAGGTAGCAGCAGAGGGAGGGCAAACTGGCACATGGACATTCTGAACAGGATCTCCTGCTGTAGGAAACTGTCTGAGCAAAGCAGAACTGCACAGAGAACATCGAGGGGGTGCAGAGACTCACTAGTTTTTGCCTTAGTCACACAAATGCTATTGCAATCAATATCTCCCTCTTTTTCCTTTGCTCCCTCCTCATCCCCCCCGATTCCTTGACTACCGTATGCCCCATGTACAAGACTTGTATTTCTGGCCCCCACATTCAAAGACATGACCTTTTTCATGAACTGCCCAAGTAAATCTTCTAACATCTGAGGAGTTTGGTTCTCTAGTCTCTCTGAGCTGATCTTGTGGATATCTGTCAGCCTGAGCTTCTTGCTTCTGTGCTGCACCAAGTTTAGCTTATATATGACTCGCTGTGTGGCTTTTCTTCGCTCTGCAGGAAAATATAAAAGATGAACATAAAGTTTTTAGATGAAGTCATCTTAAACACAGTATCTACGTAATGTTGGTCATACTTAGCACTGATGTCACGGCTGAAGAACTCTAGGAGGGAGGTTGTCTCAACTTTAATGATAGAGATCCTATCTTATTGTTTAAGAGCTAATTTTCCTAAGGGCAGGTCTACACTTAAAATGCTGCATCAGTACAGCTACACCAATAGAGCTGTGCTGCTGTAGTGCTTTAGTAGAGACGCTTTATGCTGACAGGAGAGAGCTCTCTGGTTGGCATAGTTAATCCACCTTCCCAAGAAGTGGTAGTTATGTCGATGGAAGAAGCTCTCCCACTGACATAGTGCTGTTTACCTGGGGGGTTAGATTGGTGTAACTCCATTGTCAGGGGTGTGCATTTTTCAGTGATGTAGTTTTACTAATATAGGTCTGTAGTGTAGGACCAGACCTTAGTGTGTGAAATCCACATTCTGAATCAGATTGTTTTGAAAATTTCTGTACCTCATGAGGATTCCATGTAGGTTAAAAACAGACAAACAAACAAAAAAAACCAACAACCCCAAACCAACAACAAGGAGTCCTGTGGCACCTTACAGACTAACAAATTTATTTGGGCATAAGCTTTCATGGGCTGCAACCCACTTTGTCAGATGCCTCTGACGAAATTGGTTCCAGCCCACGAAACCTTATGCCCAAATAAATTTGTTAGTCTTTAAGGTGACACAGGACTCCTTGTTGTTTTTGATGAAACAGACTAACACGGCTATCCCTCTAAAACTTGTCATCATGTAGGTTCAGTGATCCAAATTTGAGGTCATTTGGGCAAGTGGTTCTTGAGATAGAGAACTCCTAAAAATCATGCTACATCAAAATGTTAAAGTTCTTACAATATTTTTGGGCACACCTGGTGCTCAAACAATGGCTCTGATCTCACCCAGGTGTGACTGATCTCAACTATTGTCCAGTGCCCCCTGCCTCTTTGGGAAAGCAATATTGATAAAGTTAGTCAGGGTAAATTGTTGGATCTCCGATGAGGCTTGAGCGAAATTGATGAGACAAAGTCATTTGTACATGAACAGTAGGACTGGGGCTCTGTTGCAAGGCAGAGAGTTTGCAGGTAACCTGTTGTCAGAGTAAATGGGTGGATCAAGATGACATACTGTAGCTTTTTAGCTAAGCGGCAGCCCTGGGCTGTGAGATCTAGTCCAGCCCTCAGCAGATTTCGGAGAATGGTTCTTGTGCATATTAATTGCATTCTGGATTCCTTCTGGAATTTTTGCTGTGGGAGCAAAGCTTCTTGTTTAAGAGCCAACATTTCAAAGTACTCTGAAGTCCACATGCAGGCTCAGATTAAAATGCATTGTTAAGGATAATAACATTAGTTAAACAGAGGGAAGATGAAAGTCTCCAGTAAGCAGCAGCATTACGGTAATGTAATCATGCCACATATTCAGCAATAGGACTTAGTGTGATCAAAGAAAAGCAAGTAGCTGCAACTCTCCTCAATGCCACAGTGATCAAAGGGGTTGCTGAGCATCAGGAAACACTTATAATACAGAGTCCTATTTTAGAGACTGGTATACATATGTTCTTAGTCATTCTTCATGTCTACTCATAATGGCACTACTTTGACTGAACCATTCCCAGTGACTACTGCCAGCTCTGGAATGTAGAGTTAAGGGTGTGTTGTGGGGTTGGCGTATACCCCTACTTAGTATTTTTCAGAGGCTTAAGTTGGACCCTGAAGCCCAGCCCCGCCACCTTTCCACACTAGGACTGTAGCTCACAACATCTTACTTAAGAATACATAAAATAAAGAATCTGCCCCTATACCCTAATATTGGCTGGATACCACACTCTACCCTATCTCTTCTCCAGCTAGTGATCAGAGTCTTCACACTCCATAGGCAGGCCAGAAAAAAACTTTTCTGAACTGTTCCAAACTCTCAGAACCATACATACTTTTGTAACATGTTCCCAAGGTCCCTTTGTATCTTCCATAGGCAGGTAGAGTGAGTGCTGGTTACATCATTGTACAATTAAATATCAGGCTAATTGCTATAAACCACACCTACTCTGTATGGAGCTCTTGCCCCCTCTAGTGGTGGCTGGGCCACAGCCAGCAATTGATGAGTCTCCTACAGCCTTGACTAATAATCAATCATTATTCACAAACACTGTCAGAAACTTAAATTTCTTTCATGTAGCATGAAGTTGGACTCTTCCCTCGGAGGTTGAATTCAGTGAATAGTTTTGACCCATCCCTCTAAAAAAAACAAAGTGGTTTGTTTGTTTTTTAAAAGTTGAAACTGTTCATTTTAGCCATTTTGAAACTAAATCTTTAAATTTTTCATTTTGAAATGGCGTTTCATTTAGAAACTTCACTAGACTAAAAAAGAGCAGGGTGTATGTGTGAAAACACCCAAAATAATGACCCAACTGAAAATGACCTAAACACTGAAAATGACCCAAAATAAAATGAAAATAGAAAAAAATAAATAAAAAACTTTTAGGGCAAACAAAATATTTGTTCAACCCATACTTAATTTATTATGTTTTTTTTCTTTTTAGGTGGAAAAAAAACATAAAAATATGGTTTCAGTTTGTAAACTATTTTTTTTTCAGATTTTTTTTGCTTCAGTCAGTGTAAAAAAAAAATCAATTATTTGCTCAGCTCTATCCGAGATACATATATATTAAGAGCAAATACCTTGGAAAAGTTCTGGGTCTGCTGCTTCGGGAACTTGCTGAGTTTCTGATTTCGGCTCCTGGATTAATGAACCTAGCAAGAGAAACACAGGAGATCCAAGTGATTAGTACTTATTCACTGACCCTCTGCATTCCCTTTTGCAAGGGTTAAAGGCATCCTGCTATCCAGCCCCATTTTGTACTGGCTAATACACAATGGAAATAAGTTGAAAAAGAGTGAGATGTGTCAGGAACAAGATCCAATGGCTGAAAGTTGAAGCTGGACAAATTCAGACTGGAAATAAAATGCAGATTTTTAACAGTGAGGGGAATTAACCATTCAAACAACTGAATTGCTTTAGGCACCATGCCAGAACTATCAACCTTCATGTCTCTGTCTCAATCTTTGGCCAGCATATGAAACTGGTTTGACCAGAAAAGGACTCAACCTGGTAAACGTAGGAGAACAAAGAACTCTGGCAGAGTTTTAAAAAGACTCTCTCACGAGTGCAGGAGGGGAACCAGAGTCAGACCCAGAAACCTTCCGGAATGGGTAGGTCTGCTAGGCTGCCATGACAGGTTGGTAGTGTGTAATTTGTTTCTTTAAAATCTTTTTCCTCTAATGCAGTGGTGATGCATCAGAGTGGCATAAATGGTCACATGCTCCTCCTGAAAACACCAGTGGGGGGACGGGGCCAGCAGGCAGAGCCGGAAGGGAAGGGGCGGGACTGGGCCAGAGCCTTTCCTCTTCCGGTTCTGGACACGCTGCCTGCCTGGGATGCTGCCTGGTGCAGTGCAGTGGCTGCACTCTCCCATGCAGCTGCTGTGCTGCACTGGGCAGCATCCCAGGCAGGCCACGTGGTGTCTGCCTGGGAGAGTGTACAGTGAGAGGACAGAGCCCCCCCCCCCACCAGGTAACATGGCATGGGGAGGGGACAGAGAGAGCACGGGCAGACCCAGGCGGGGGGTGAGAACAAGTCATGTGGGGGGTGTCACGTGGGGAGGTCACGTGGGGGGTTATGTTCCCCCCAGCTGGTGCCCCCTTTATGACACTTCAACTAGTTGCTTATGCTCTAATACTTTTTTCCTACTGACAAATACGCTATATTTCTGTATGCAGAAGGCTGTTGGTTTGCTGGATAACATTGGTCACAGTTCCCGGAGAAAAGAGATGCAGGAGTCCAGTTGGATCTGCACAATAATAAGTGGCTGCTAGACGACTGGTGCCTTCCCACACTGAGGTGGGGCACCAACTAAAGGGGAGGACATGTGCCCTCAATTACGTGTCTCGTACACACCCTCAGCCCAGGGCTCCCATGCTCTCTCCCCTCCCCCCACGTTACCTGTGGGGGGGAAAGGCTCTGTCCTCCCGCTGTGCTGGTTTCCCCCACCCACCGGCACGTTTGGCCACCCTCCCTGGCAGAGAGCTTGGCTGGGGTTGGGCAGCAGTGGCCACCTGCTCCCTGCCCAGGCTCGGCTTCCGGGAGGAGTGGCCAAGTGAGCCAGAGCCCCCCGCCATGCTCAGCTCCTGTTCCCGGAATAGGAGTCTCCAAGAATTAATCTTTACTTAAAGATTATGTCACGTGACGAAACTTCCAGGAATACATCTAACCAAAATTGGCAACCCTACCCTGGAAGATGAGCCTGGGCGGGAGCAGCCTCCCGCCTCCGCAGCCAGGCTCTCTCCCAGACAGCTGCTGCTGGCAGCGTCCCAGCACGGCCGGAGAGACTCTGGCCCTGCCCCTTCCTCTCCCTTCCTGGGTGGCTGCTGGAGAAACACTGGGCCCTCCATGCCTCCCCAACACGACAGGGAACTGTGAAATTTCAATCCCAGAGAGGGAAAGGCATGAGGCTTAACACCAGAGGGGATGCACTCAGAGATCAGAAAGAGGACACAGGTGTAGCTAGCTCTATAACTGTGACAATAGCACCCAGTACAATGGGTCCTGCTCTATGACTGGGGATCCTAGGCACTACTGTAATACACCTAATAAATATTGTACCACACCTAGCACAATGGGGTCTTGGGTCATCATTTGAAAGGAACTGTGTGTGGGTTGTATCTCTGGCTATGAGTCCTTCTTGGGGGCAATGGTTGGAGGAAACAGAGCAGCTCAGGTGTGAGTGGCTGGGTGGGGTAGAGCAGGGCTAAGAATTTGCCCAACTAAAGGTGCTGGGATTTGGAGAACCTGCCCTTTCAGTGCTGCCATTCGGGGGGTAAGGCGAGGGATTCTAGCTAGGTTGTCGGAGCGAGAGCTGCGAGAGGGACCCTGTGCTAAGATCCCCTCTGTAGCAGGGATGGAGTTGACCTCTGCCTGGCTCATTCCTTACTGTGTCTGAGTCTTTCTGCCAGGTCTCGCTGGTTGATGTGTCCCAGAACCTTCACAGTCACTTCCACCGCACCTTGCTCCCCGTAGTAATGTATCAGCAGCTTGGTGACATCCAAGGCATCCGCCTTCTCCAGCCTTCCGCAGGGGATGGCTTGAACCCCTTCCTTCAGGTTAGTCTTGCCCAGTTTGAACTTGAATCTTTTGAATTCATGCTCCTCCAGATTGTCTAGGGTCTCCAGCAAGAGATCTTCTGTTTTGTTCTCCATGCTGCCTCCTCAGACGGGCCCCAGAGCAGACTGCTAGATCATCCCAGGAAAAGAAAGGACCATTGTAACCCTTCTGCCAGGTGGAGTTGGCAGCAACAAGGGCCAGATTCAATATATAGCGGTTTCTCTTACCTCAAAATAGAACGGGCCTGAGTGCCCACCCAGTAATCTGGGAAAACTAAGCAACACCCCTGGGTGCCTCTAAGAAGGCAACACTTCCCCACTTCCAAGCACTGAGTCTGTGTATAACAAAAACAAACTTTTAATAAAGGGAAAAGGGGACCTAGCATCAATTTGGGAAAACACCACAACCTGAATTCAAAAGCATGTGCCCATAAGTAAACACTCACCCCACATAGGGTGACCAGATGTCCTGATTTTATAGGGACAGTCCCGATTTTGGAGTCTTTTTCTTATATAGGCTCCTATTACCCTCCACCCCATGTCCCAGTTTTTCACACTTGCTATCTGGTCACCCTAACTCCACAGTGTATTAGGCCGTGTCCTTTGCCACAATTTTCCACCTTGCAGTGTAAATATAAATACCATCCATCACCAGATAATTTTAACAGGTTTCCATGCCTCTCTCTGGTCTCATATATGGATATGTACACTTTTGGCGTGGTCAGCCATTTTTTTGGTAAATGAGGATTGTTAGGCTTGTTTGTTTGTGTGTGTGTTTTTACCTGTGAAGGTTAGAGAAAAAAATAGTTTTATAGTTATTTTTAGATAATTTAGAAAATAAGGTAGATTATTACAGGAAAGAGAGAGTTTTAAAAGTGTTTTAGAGGGAAAAAAGGTTTTTTAGAAAATAAAAATGGCTATTTTGAAATAAAGTCTGAAAATAGAGAAAAGAGCATGTCTTTTTTAGAGAAAACAAGTGGGAGAAAACAGATGAGAAAAGCAAAAGGCTGTTGCAGAAAGAGAGAAAGTTGTAAAGCAGCAGGAAAGCCTGTGTCTCAGAGCAGATGGCATGGAGAGGAGAGGCGAGCAGCTTAACTGGGCGGCTACTTCTAGGGAAATGCCACCAATTCCGGGATCAGCGTGCCTTCAGGGCAAACCACGCCTCTCAGCTGGGCCAATCAGAAGCTGTTAATAGAAGCTAGGTCATGTAATGCATTTTCCTGAACTAATTTTGGCGGGCTATTGACCCATTGGGCCATTAAAAAATACAAAGGGATGAAAAGACAGACACTGTACATAATACAAGTTTTCGTAGAAATACACCAGCCTTTAAAAAAATAGTGTTAGCTTGCTTTTTAAAATGCTGCCTAAAGGAAAACTTCTGTAAAACGGGCTTTAGATTTATACAAAACACATACATGGGCTAACTTAAAAGAAAAAACAGCTTATGTAAAACAGAGGCTAAGGCTAGGTCTACACTACCCGCCTGAATCGGCGGGTAGAAATCGACCTCTCGGGGATCGATTTATACAATCGATCCCCGAATCGACGCTCTTACTCCACCAGCGGAGGTCGGAGTAAGCGCCGTCGACGGGAAGCTGCAGAGGTCGATTTTGCCGCCGGCCCTACAGCGGGGTAAGTCGGCTGCGATACGTCGAATTCAGCTATTCGCGTAGCTGAATTTGCGTATCTTAAATCGACCCCCCCTGTAGTGTAGATGTAGCCTTTGTCTGAAGAAGGCCTGGGAGCCTGTCCTCCATGTGAGCTGGAGATTCCTGAGCCAGCTGGTCAGAGCTAAGAATAGAGCAGTAGAAGCCAGGGCTGAAGATTTGGGGGGAAGAATGTAATATTCCCATCAAAGTGTAAAAAGTTTTATTTTGTCACCAGGAGAGCTCTTTCCCAGTGAAAAAGAGCAGCTACATAGTGCACCTTAAAATGGCATGGCTGCAGTGACACAGTTGCAGTGTTGTAAGATGTGCAGTATAGGTGCATGGGGTTAAAACACTTGCCATTAGGAATAGCATCTAGTTTTATAAAATATATGGGCTGTGAATTTAGTGTGCTACTTTCTGCAGTGACATAAAAGCACATCCAGTAGCCTTCATGCTACTCATCCATGTGGGCACTAATGATACTGTGAGATATGACCCCAGCAGATCAGAAGTGACTACAGGGCTCTGGGAGTAAGGGTGAAGGAATTGGGCACATAGGTAGTGTCTCTTTGATCCTTCCGGTCAAGGGTAGGTGGCCCAGGCAGAGACAGATGCATCCTGGAGGTGAATGCCTTGCTGCCAAGATGTTGTCACCAGGAGGGCTTTGGCTTCCTTGACCATAGGATGCTGTTCCAGGAAGAATCATAGAATATCAGGGTTGGAAAGGACCTCAGGAGGTCATCTAGTCCAACCCCCTGCTCAAAGAAGGTCCAATCCCCAACTATTTTTTTTTGCCCCAGATCCCTAAATGGCCCCCTCAAGGATTGAACTCACAAGCCTGGGGTTAGCAGGCCAATGCTCAGACCACTGAACTGTCCCAAAGGACTGAGCTATCCAGAAGGACTGCTAAGCAGAGATGGGGTCCACCTATCGAGGCGAGGAAGAGCATATTTGGAGACAGACTGGCTAACCTAGTGAGGAGGGCTTTAAACTAGATTTGAAGGGGGCAGGTGATCAAAGCCCACAGGTAAGTCAAAGACATGGAGACCTAGGAGAAGGGTCAGAAATTGGGGGGAGCACGGACTATTATAGCAGGGATCAAAGAGAGACAAGACAGAACTGGGCGGGGGGGGGGGGAGGAAATCAAATCAGTATCATAGATGTCTGTATACTAATGCAAGAAATATGGGGAATAAGCAGGAAGAACTCATAATGATAGTAAATAAACACAACTACGACATAGTTGGCATCACAGAGACCTGGTGGGACAACATGCACGACTGGAATATTGGTATAGAAGGGTACAGCTTGCTGAGAAAGGACAGGCAGGGAAAAAGGGAGGAGGTGTTGCCTTATATATTAAGAATGTACACACTTGGTCTGAGGTTAAGATGGAAATAGGAGAAAGTCTTGTTGAAAGTCTCTGGGTAAGGATAGAAGGGGTAAAAAATAAGGGTGATGTCATGGTAGGAGTCTACTACAGATCGCTTAACCAGGAAGAAGAGGTAGATGAGGAGTTTTTCAAGCAACTAACAAAAACATCCAAAGCACAGGACTTGGTAGTGATGGGGGACTTTAACTACCCAGACATCTGTTGGGAAAATAACACAGCAGGGCACAGATTATCCAACAAGTTCTTGGAATGTATTGGAGAAAATTTTTTGTTCCAGAAGGTGGAGAAAGCTACTAGGGGAGAGGCTGTTCTAGACTTGATTTTGACAAATAAAGGAGGAACTGGTTGAGAATTTGATAGTAAGATCCCATGGAAAGCAAATCTAAGAGGAAAAAACAATTGAAGACAGTTGGCAGTTTTTCAGAGACATTATTAAGGGCACAAGAGCAAACTATTCCACTGTGTAGGAAAGATAGGAAGTATGGTGAGAGACCATCCTGGCTTATCCAGGAGATCTTCAATGATCTAAAAAACAAAAAGCAGTCCTACAAAAAGTGGAAACAAGGTCAAATTACAAAGGATGAATATAAACAAATAACACATGTATGTAGGGGCAAAATTAGAAAGGCCAAGGCACAAAACGAGATCAAACTAGCTAGAGACAAAAAGGGTAACAAGAAAACATTCTACAAATATGTTAGAAGCAAGAGGAAGACCAAGGACAGGGTAGGCCTGTCACTCAATGAAGAGGGGAAAAGAATAACAGAAAATGTGAAAATGGCAGAGGTACTTAATGACTTCTTTGTTTCTCTTTTCACCAAGAAGGTTGGTGGCGTTTGGATGCCTAACATAGTGAATGCCAGTGAAAATGGGGTAGGTTCAGATGCTTAAATAGGGAAAGAACAAGTTAAAAGTTACTTGAACAAATTAGATGTCTTCAAGTCACCAGGGCCTGATTAAATTAATCCTAGAATACTCAAGGAACTGACTGAGGAGATATCTGAGCTATTAGCTATTATCTTTGAAAAGTCATGGAAGACAGGGGAGATTCCAGAAGACTGGAAAAGAGCACATATAGTGCCTATCTATAAAAAGGGAAACAAAGACAACCCAGGCAATTACAGACCAGTCAGCTTAACTTCCGTACCAGGTAGAATAATGGAGCGAATAATTAAGGAATCAATTTGCAAACATCTAGAAGATAATAAGGTGATAAGTAATAGTTAGCATGCATTTGTCAAGAACAAATCACGTCAAACCAACCTGATAGCTTTCTCTGACGGGGTAACAAGCCTTGTGGATAGGGGGGAAGCGGTGGATGTGGTATATCTGAACTTCAGTATGGCTTTTGATACAGTCTCGCATGACCTTCTCATAAAGAAACTTGGGAAATACAACCTAGATGGAGCTACTATAAGGTGGGTGCATAACTGGTTGGATAACCGTTCCCAGACAGCAGTTATCAATGGTTTACGGTCATGCTGGAAGGGCATAATGAGTGGGGTTTCGCAGGGATCAGTTCTGGGTCCAGTTCTTTTCTATGTCTTCATCAATGATTTAGATCATGACATAGAGAGTATACTTATAAAGTTTGCGGGTGATACCAAGCTGGGAGGGGTTGCAAGTGCTTTCAAGGATAGGATGAAAATTCAAAATGATCTGGACAAACTGGAGAAATGGTCTGAGGTAAATAGGATGAAATTCAATAAGGACAAATGCAAAGTGCTCCACTTAGGAAGGAACAATCAGTTGCACACATACAAAATGGGAAATGACGGCCTAGGAAGGAGTACTGCAGAAAGGGATCTGGGGGTCATAGTGGACCACAAGCTAAATATGAGTCAACAATGTAACACTGTTGCAAAAAAAGCAAACATCATTTTGGGATGTTGTAGAGAGGCAGTGTGGTCCCTGCCGCCCCAGAGAGGGACTAGCCCCTCCAGACACCAAAGTGAGCGGAGCCAGCAAGTCCTGCGCCCGTCCCCAGAGGTCAAGGCGCCGGACAATAAGTATAAAAGCCCAACCCCAGAGCTCACTCGAGGAGCAGCCGC